TGTGGCCATGGAGAAGATGCTGCTGTCATCTGCTCAGGTGGGGATGAAATATACCCATCTCTCTCTCTGAGATGGTCTTTGAGGGGAAGAAACACTTTATCCACAAAAGGCCCACATCCAATACTCTGAGATATTCTGTGCCTCCCAAGGTTTCTAGAGGCAGCAGGTAACTGAATTACAATGGAATAGAAAGTGTAGGGTCGGGTGCCTGGGTGGCTCAGTTGGTTAAGCGACTGCCTTCAGCTCTGGTCATGATCCTGGAGTCCCGGGATCGAGGCCCGCATCGGTATCCCTGCACAGCAGGAAGTCTGCTTCTCCCTCTGACCCTCTCCCCTCTAATGCTCTCTCTCTATCTCATTCTCTCTCTCAAATAAATAAATAAAATCTTAAAAAAAAAAAAAAGAAAGATAAAATCCTGAACTTAAAAAAAAAAAAAGAAAGAAAGTGTAGGGTCAGTAGTCCTCGCCTGTTTGGCCATCAACAGAGAAGGGACAACATTACTTTCCAGCAACATGGCATAGTGGGTGAAAGGACCATCCCCAGTTCCGTGGGCAGAAAAAAATGGGCCTCTTCCTTCCAACAGAATCGGCTGCTCAGTCTACAACCCATTTCCCAGGGCCTTACATATCAAGGTGCACCTATTGGGAGTATGGTTGGAAAATGAACCAACTTCACACCTTCATGGTTATATTCTTCTGAGTCCTCCATGAAGCCTATTTGGAGAACAAATTGCAGTGTACATTGCGAATTTGGGAGGGCAGTGAAGAGCAGTTAGGAAGTGGGGAAGGTACAGGGAATGGAAACTCACTACTACATGGAATGCTAAAGAAACACATAGGAATATGGCAATCGAGTTGACTATCTATAGAAATGGAGAAAAACCATGTAAAGACTGGGAGCATTGCCCCTGGGCTGGTGGAAATGGGGTCTATCTAGACCAACTGCCCAGAGTCATTCTTGCTGTTCATATGCAGAGCGAATGCAATGGCTTTGGTGGCCTGTCCTGGGCCTGGCAGGAACATTCCACCTCCTGAATGTCAGTCCTCAGGCCCAGCAAGGTAGACAATGGCAGCAGGACAAAGGGTGGGGCTCCCAGAGGACTGAGCAGTTCAGGGTGGGCCCTGGCTCCTTCCACCTGAGGGCATGTGGAAGCATGATCTCAGAAGGTATAGGCTGTGTATCTTAAAACTTTGGTCCAGTTGGGGCACCTGTGTGATATGTGTCTGATTCGTCATTCTTTGTCACACCTGATCCATCTCAGTTCATGATCCAGCCAGGTGAGTCCTTAGCCACCCTACTCCGGCTTGTCTCTCTGCCCACCTATCCCTCTTCCCACAGGGTGGTCAAATCTCTCAGCCGTCTGTCAAACCTGCGAGAACCCTAATTTTCCCACAATCACTGAGATCCTGGAAGGTGGTTCTTGACTAGGCATGGGATTCACAAGAGTCTCATCTTCCCGTCAATCCATGAGGTTTCATCCAGTATGTGGACCAAGAGGTGGCTGCCTGCAGTTACAGAGAACTGGCACTTGTGCCATGAATCTCAGCTGCAATACAATCGGGCTGAGAAGTTAGGTGGGAGAATGGACGCTGATGACCACCGACTTCCCACAGAAGAGCTAGCAGAGCAAGCAGGTTCTTGTCCCTTACTCAGTGCTTGCAAAGGCCTCCAATTCTATGAAGTCGTATCTGCATCCAAGGAGGCCTGTACAGCATTTCCTGGGGATGGGAGTGCAATGGGTGATGGAGGTGCTCTAGGTACTGGGATACCTAGTTGGCTCCATTTTGACCCTCGAAGCCCCTGACTCTTTATCCCAAGCTTCACATATAGCAAACCCCTCAGATCTACATGAGTCAAGATAGAAGGTGGTAAAGACATTCTAAGGGACAAAAGAACATGCCAGGCTTAGAGATATAGATGGACCTGGCTGACCTCACAAGGCCTTTGTCCCAGAAATGCTAGGGGAGTTAAGGGAGCAGTGGACTTTGCACAGCACACCCAGGTGGAAGGTGGCAGGATGTAGATGGACAACTATCACGATGCCTGCCAAAAACAGGTTTCCAAAAGTTCTTTCCATGATGTCTAGCTCTGTTTTTTCTCCTTTGTTACCATATCCAGAAACCACCAGGATCAGCAGCTCCACAGCTTCAATAAGAGAATTAGGTGAATATTTCAGTCCTCTCTCCTAGGATCATTCTCAGCTCCAAATAACATTTGGGTTTGGAAGGGACAGGAGGCATCTCAGGGTGTGTCTTTCCTAATCCTTATCTGTGTGTGTTTGCGTGTGTGTGTGTACAACTGGGGGATAAAGAAGTCTCTGAAGATCGGATCCTGGGCCTGATCTTAGAAGTTGTCCTGCTGACTCCATTGGAATCCTGGGCTTCTGTTCAGGAAAGGTCCTCCCCAGGTGCTCAGCGTAAGCCCTGGAGGCCTCTCAAGGGCTTGGACCATGCTTCTCTGGTGGCTCCCAGGCCCATGGGGTAGAGCCCTGAGAAGAGGAGGGCTCTTTGCTGGTCCTCCACCTTGCTTACCAAGTTGCACCATGTCCTAGGATTTTGGCAGAACCAAGTCAGGATGCCTCTGAAGCCAATAGTTTGCTAATGAAGGCAAGGACTTGCCCCGTACGAGTAGCTTAAAGCTCTATACTGGGTGTGCCAGTGTGGATTAGGCCAGACCAACACATCAATTCCATCCATTTCATGGGTTGCTTCTTTTCATTGGAGCATCCTTCGCCTTGAACCGATTGGGGTGTCTCTGCTCCATTACCCGTGGTGAAGATTAACATCTGGGCATGTTGAAAGGTCAATACCTGCCCAGGGGCCTTAGGCCAGGAAGAAGCTCCTGGGTCTTCCCAATGTTTTAATCTTATGAGCTTAAGGTACAGATGGAGGAGGTTTTCTGTTCTTTATCCCTCAGGGACTGAGTCAGGTTTGGCCCTGAGACTGGTGAGCGGAGGGGACCGGTGTCAGGGCCGCGTGGAGGTCCTGTACGAAGGCTCCTGGGGCACCGTGTGTGATGACGACTGGAACACCAATGACGCCAACGTGGTGTGCAGACAGCTGGACTGTGGCTCGGCCACTTCAGCCCCTGGAAGTGCCCATTTTGGTCAAGGCTCAGGGCCAATTTTCCTAGACAACCTGCGCTGCTCTGGCCATGAGTCCTACCTGTGGAGCTGCCCTCACAATGGCTGGAAGACACACAACTGTGCCCATGGAGAAGATGCTGGTGTCATCTGCTCAGGTAGGGATGAAATATACCTATCTCTCTGAGATGGTCTTTGAGGGGAAGAAACACATTATCAAAAAAGGCCCACATCCAATACTCTGAGATATTCTGTGCCTCCCAAGGTTTCTAGAGGCAGCAGGCAACTGAGGTACAATGGAAAATAAAGTGTAGGGTCAGCGGTCCTTGCCTGTTTGGCCATCAACAAAGAAGGGCCAACATTACTTTGCAGCAACATGGCATAGTGGGTGAAAGGACCATCCCCAGTTCCGTGGGCAGAAAGAAATGGGCCTCTTCCTTCCAACAGAATCATCTGCTCAGTCTACACCCCATTTCCCAGGGCCTTACATGTCAAGGCACACCTATTGGGAGTATGGTTGGAAAATGAACCACCTTCACACCTTCATGGTTATATTCTACTGAGTCCTCCATGAAACCTATTTGGAGAACAAATTGCAGTGTACATTGTGAATATGGGAGGGCAGTGAAGAGCAGTTGGGAAGTGGGGAAGGTACAGGTAATGGCAAGTCACTACTACATGGAAAGCTAACGAAACACACAGGAATATGGCAATCAAGTTGACTCTCTATAGAAATGGAGAAAAACCATGTAAAGACTGGGAGCATTGCCCCTGGGCTGGTGGAAATGGTGTCTATCTAGACCAACTGCCTGGGTTCATTCTTGCTGTTCATATGCAGAGCCAATGCAATGGCTTTGGTGGCCTGTCCTGGGCCTGGCAAGGACATTCCACCTCCTGGAATGCCAGCCCTCAGGCTCAGCAAAGGAGACAATGGCAGCAGGACAAAGGGTGGGGCTCCCAGAGGACTGAGCGGTTCAGGGTGGGCCCTGGCTCCTTCCACCCGAGGGCATGTGGAAGCATGATCTCAGGAGGTATAGGCTGTGTTTCTTAAACCTTCGGTCCAGTTGGGGCACCTGTGTGCTGTGTGTCTGGTTCGTGATTCTTTGTCACACCTGATCCATCTCAGTTCATGATCCAGCCAGGTGAGTCCTTAGCCACCCTACTCAGGCTTGTCTCTCTGCCCACCTATCCCTCTTCCCCCCAGGGCGGTCACATCTCTCTGTCTGCTCTCTCTCAAACCGGGGCGCACCTTAATTTTCCCGACTGTCACTGAGATCCTGGATGGTGGTTCTTGACTAGGCATGGGATTCACAAGAGTCTCATCTTCCCGTCAATCCATGAGGTTTCATCCAGTATGTGGAAACTGTCCCAAGAGGTGGCTGCCTGCAGTTACAGAGAACTGGCCACTTGTGCCCTGAATCTTAGCTGCAATACAATCCGAGCTGACAAGTTGAGTGGGAGAATGGACGCTGATGACCACCGACTTCCCACTGAAGAGATACCAGGGCAAGCTGGTTCCTCTCCCTTACTCAGTGCTTGTAAAGGCCTCCAATTCTATGAAGTCATATCTGCATCCAAGGAGGCCTGTACAGCATTTCCTGGGGATGGGAGTGCAATGGGTGATGGAGGTGCTCTAGGTACTGGGATACCTAGTTGGACTCCATGTTGACCCTCAATGCCCCTGACTCTTTATCCCAAGCTTCATATATGGAAAACCCCTCAGATCTACATGAGTCAAGATAGAAGGTGGCACAGATATTCTAAGGGACAAAAGAACATGCCAGGCTTAGAGATGTAGACGGACCTGGATGACCTCACAAGGCCTTTGTCCCAGAAATGTTAGGGGAGCTAGGGGAGCAGTGGACTTTGCACAGCACACCCAGGTGAATGTGGCAGGATATAGATGGACAACTATCATGATTCCTGCCAAAAACAGGTTTCCAAAAGTGCTTTCCATGATGTCTAGCTCTGTTTTTTCTCCTTTGTTACCATATCCGGAAACTACCAGGATCAGCAATTCCACAGCTTCAATAACAGAATTAGGTGAATATTTCAGTCCTGTCTCCTAGGATCGTTCTCAGCTCCAAATAACATTTGGGTTTGGAAGGGACAGGAGCCATCAGGGTGTGTCTTTCCTAATCCTTATCTCTGTGTGTGTGTGTGTTTTTTTTTGTCTGTGTGTGTGTAAAACTGGGGGATAAAGAAGTCTCTGAAGATCAGATCCTGGGCCTGTTCTTAGAGGTTGTCCTGCTGACTCCATTGGAAACCTGGGCTTATGTTCAGGAAAGGTCCTCCCCAGGCACTCAGTGTAATCCCTGGAGGCCTCTCAAGGGCTTGGACCATGCTTCTCTGGTGGCTCCCAGGCCCATGGGGTAGAGCCCTGAGAAAAGGATGGCTATGTGCTGGTCCTCCACCTTGCCTAGTGAGTTGTACCATGTCCTGGGATTTTTGCAGAACCAAATCAGGATTCCTCTGAAGCCAAAAGTTTGCTAATGAAGGCAAGGACTTGGCATGTGCCAGTACCTTTAGAGCTCCATACTGGGTGTGCCAGCGTGGATTAGGCCAGACCACCACATCACCTTCATCCATGTCTTGGGGTGTTTCTTTCCATTGGAGCATCCTTAGCCTTGAGGCGATTGGGGTGTCTCTGTTCCATTACCCGTGGTGAAGATTAACATCTGGGCATGTTGAAAGGTCAATACCTGCCCAGGGGCCTTAGGCCAGGAAGAAGCCCCTGGGTCTTCCCAATGTTTTAAGCTTATGAGCTTAAGATACAGATGGAGGATGATTTCTGTTTTTTATCCCTCAGGGACTGAGTCAGGTTTGGCCCTGAGGCTGGTGAGCGGAGGCGACCGGTGTCAGGGCCGCGTGGAGGTCCTGTACCAAGGCTCCTGGGGCACCGTGTGTGACGACGACTGGGACACCAATGACGCCAATGTGGTCTGCAGGCAGCTGGGCTGTGGCTGGGCCACTTCAGCCCCTGGAAGTGCCCGTTTTGGTCAAGGCTCAGGGCCAATTGTCCTAGACAACCTGCGCTGCTCTGGCCATGAATCCTACCTGTGGAGCTGCACTCACAATGGCTGGAACTCGCACAACTGTGGCCATGGAGAAGATGCTGCTGTCATCTGCTCAGGTGGGGATGAAATATACCCATCTCTCTCTCTGAGATGGTGTTTGAGGGGAAGAAACACATCATCCACAAAAGGCCCACATCCAACACTCTCTGAGATATTCTGTGCCTCCCAAGGTTTCTAGAGGCAGCAGGCAACTGAAGTACAATGGAAAGGAAAGTGTAGGGTCAGCGGTCCTCGCCTGTTTGGCCATCAACAGAGAAGGGCCAACATTACGTTGCAGCAGCATGGCATAGTGGGTGAAAGGACCATCCCCAGTTCCGTGGGCAGAAAAAAATGGGGCTCTTCCTTCCAACAGAATATTCTGCTCAGTCTACACCCCGTTTCCCAAGGCCTTACATATCAAGGCGCACCTATTGGGAGTATGGTTGGAAAATGAACCACCCTCACGCCTCCATGGTTATATTCTTCTGAGTTTTCCATGAAGCCTATTTGGAGAACAAATTGCAGTGTACATTGTGAATTTGGGAGGGCAGTGAAGAGCACTTGGGAACTGGGGAAGGTACAGGGAATGGAAACTCACTTCTACATGGAATGCGAAAGAAACACATAGGAATATGGCAATCGAGTTGACTCTCTGTAGAAATAGAACAAAACAATGTAAAGACTGGGAGCATTGACCCTGGGCTGGTGGAAATGGGGTCTATCTAGAGCAACTGCCCAGAGTCATTCTTGCTGTTCTTATGCAGAGCGAATGCAATGGCTTTGGTGTTCTGTCCTGGGCCTGGCAGGGACATTCCACCTCCTGGAATGCCAGCCCTCAGGCCCAGCAAGGCAGACAATGGCAGCAGGACAAAGGGTGGGGCTCCCAGAGGACTGAGCGGTTCAGGGTGGGCCCTGGCTCCTTCCACCCGAGGGCATGTAGAAGCATGATCTCAGGAGCTATAGGCTGTGTTTCTTAAACCTTCAGTCTAATTGGGGCACCTGTGTGCTGTGTGTCTGAATCGTGATTCTTTGTCACACCTGATCCATCTCAGTTCATGATCCAGCCAGGTGAGACAACCCTACTCCGGCTTGTCTCTCTGCCCACATATTGCTCTTCCTACCAGGGTGGTGAAATCTCTCTGCTCACTATGAAACCTGGGCGCCCCATAATTTTCCCCACTGACACTGAGATCCTGGAAGATGGGTCTTGACTAGGCATGGGATTCACAAGAGTCTCATCTTCCCGTCAATCCATGAGGTTTTATCCAGTTGTGGAAACTGTCCCAAGAAGTGGCTGCCTGCCGTTTCAGAGAACTGGCCATTTGTGCCAGTTCAGAGAACTGGCCATTTGTGCCATGAATCTCAGCTGCAATACAATCCGGGGTAATAAGTTGAGTGGGAAATTAGACGCTGATGACCACCGAGTTCCTACTGAAAGCCAAAAGGGGAGGCTGGTTCCTCTCCCTTACTCAGTGCTTGCAAAGGCCTCCGATTCCGTGGAGTCATATCTGCCTCCAACCGGGCCTAGACAGCATTTCCTGGGGATGGGAGTGCAATGGGTTACGGAGGTGCTCTAGGTACTGGGATGCCTAGTTGACTCCATGTTGACCCTCAATGCCCCTACTCTTTATCCCAAGCTTCACATATGGCAAACCTCTCAGATCTACATGAGTCAAGATAGAAGGTGGTAAAGACATTCTAAGGGACCAAAGAACATGCCAGGCTTAGAGATGTAGAGGGACCTGGCTGACCTCACAAGGCCTTTGTCCCAGAAATGATAGGGGAGCAGCGGACTTTGCACAGCACACCCAGGTGGAAGGTAGCAGGATGCAGATGGACAACCGTCATGATGACTGCCAAAAACAATTTCAAAAATGCTTTCCATGAAGTCTAAGTCTGTTTTTCTATTTTGTTTTGTTTTGTTCTTGTTTTTTTTTTTTTTTTACCTTTGTTGCCATATACAGACACCGCCTGGATCACCAGCTCCACAGCTTCAACAACAGAATTAGGTGAATATTTCAGTCCTCTCTCCTAAGATCAATCTCAACTTCTAGATAACGTTTGGGTTTGGAAGGGACAGGAGCCGACTCAGGGTGTGTCTTTCCTTATCCTTGTCCCTGTGTGTATGTGTGTGTGTGTGTGTGTGTGTGTGTGTTTGTGTACAGCTGGGGGACAGAGGGAGAAGCCTCTGAAGAACAGATCCTGGGTCTGATCTTAGAGGGTGGGCCCATGACTCCATTGGGATGCTGGGCTAATATTCAGGAAAGGTCCTTCCCCGGTGCTAGTGTAAGCACTGCAGGCCTCTCAAGTGCAGCTGGGACCTTGCTTGTCCTGTGGCACCTGAGCCCATGGGGTAGAGCCCTAAGAAGAGTAGGGCTAAGTGCTGGTCCTCCCCCTTGCTTGCCGAGGTGCACCATGTCCTGGGATTTTGGCATAACCAAGTCAGAATGCTCCAGCAAGGGTCTTGGCATGCACCAGTAGCTTTAGTGCTCCATAGTGGGTGTGCCCAGTTTGGATTCGGCCTGTCCACCACGTCACCTCCATCCAGGTCATGGGGTGTTTCTTTCCATTGGAAAGTCCTTAGCCTTGAGCCGATTGGGATGTCTCTGCTCCTTTACCTGTGGTGAAGATTAACCTCTGGGCATGTTGAAAGGTCATTACCTGGCCAGGGAACTTATGCCAGGAAGAAACCCCTGGGGGTTCTCAATCTTTTAAGCTTATGAGCTTAAGGTACAGATGGAGGAGGATTGCTGTTCTTTATCCCTGGGGACTGATTCAGGTTTGGCCCTGAGGCTGGTGAGCCGAGGGGACCGGTGTCAGGGCCGCGTGGAGGTCCTGTACCGCGGCTCCTGGGGCACCGTGTGTGACGACGACTGGGACACCAATGACGCCAACGTGGTCTGCAGGCAGCTGGGCTGTGGCTGGGCCACTTCGGCCCCTGGAAGTGCCCGTTTGGGTCAAGGCTCAGGGTCAATTTAGTTAGACAACCTGTGCTGCTCTGGCCATGAGTCCTACCTGTGGAGCTGCCCGCACAAGGGCTGGAATTCGCACAACTGTGGCCACTCAGAAGATGTGGGTGTCATCTGCTCAGGTGGGGATGAAATATACCCATCTCCCTCCCTGACATGGTCTTTGAGGGGAAGAAACACACTATCTACAAAAGGCCCACATCCAACACTCTCTGAGATATTCTGTGCCTCCCAAGGTTTCTAGAGGCAGCAGGCAACTGAAGTACAATGGAAAGGAAAGTGTAGGGTCAGCGGTCCTCGCCTGTTTGGCCATCAACAGAGAAGGGCCACATTACATTACAGCGACATGGCATAGTGGGTGATAGGACCATCCCCAGTTCCGTGGGCAGAAAACAATGAGCCTCTTCCTTCCTATAGGATCAGCTGCTCAAACTACACCCCATTTCCCAGGACCTTACATATCAAGGCGCAGCTTTTGGGAGTATGGTTGGAAAATGAACCACCTTCACGCCTCCATGGTTATATTCTTCTGAGTCCTCCATGAAGCCGATTCGGAGAACAGGATTGCAGTCTACATTGGGAATTTGGGAGGGCTGTGAAGAGCAGTTGGGAAGTGGGGAAGGTACAGGGAATGACAACTCACTACTACGTGGAATGCTAACACATAGGAATATGGCAATCGAATTGACTCCCTACATAAACGGAGAAAAACCATGTAAAGACTGGGAGTATTGCACCTGGGTTGGTGGAATTGGGGTCTATCTAGACCACCTGCCCAGATTCATTCTTGCTGTTCATATGCGGAGCGAATGCAATGGCTTTGATGGCCTGTCCTGGGCCTGGCAAGGACATTCCACCTCCTTGAATGTCAGTCCTCAGGCCCAGCAAGGCAGACAATGGCAGCAGGACAAAGGGTGGGGCTCCCAGAGGACTGAGCGTTCAGGGTGGGCCCTGGCT